ATGAATACCTGAGGGATACAATGAAACAGAGAGATAAAGCACTCAAGGTTTCTCTTAAAACGAAATTAACCACTGATTATTACATTTATAAATCTCTGAGAAATAAAGTTACCATGCTGCTTCGAAAAGCAAAAGCAAATTTTTTTCTAAATTTAATCAAAGAGGCAAAAGGTAATTGTAAGAATCTGTGGAGAAGCATGGATAAATTAATGGGAAGGAAAAAAATAAATCAGGAGCATTTAAAACTCAAAATCAATGGAATTGTTCAAAATGAGGGCTCTATTCTGGCTAAACATTACAATGATTATTTCTTGGATTCTGTATTAGATTTCGCGGAGACTTTTCCTGAAGTGAACTGCTGCAGAGATGATCATGGGGATGGTAATGTGTCTCACTGTAGGTTGCAGAATATAGATGAAGACAAAATTTCCAAAATAATATCAAATTTAAAAAATAGTAAAGCAAAGGACATATTTGGACTTGATACATCACTTTTAAAAGAACATATAACTATTCTAACTCCTGTATTAACAATAGCTGTGAATCAATCTATAAAAGAAAAACATTTTCCTTTGGCGTTAAAAGCAGTAGTCAAGCCGATTTTCAAGTCAGGAGACAAGCTCTGTGTGTCAAACTCGACCTATTAGCATTCTGCCAGCCATCTCTAAGATCTTTGAGAAGGTGGTGGCAGAACAACTAGTAAAGCATCTCGACCACACTGATGCGCATTACATCCTTGCCAGTTTGGGTTCAGGAAAAGATACTCCACAGAGTCTGTGTGCTGCTACTTGATAGAAGATATTAAATCCAGTCTTGTTCCTAGTCGATCTTACCTTAATGACAGACAACAATGCGTTGTGGTTGACAACAAAAAATCACCATTAAGATCCTGTAGCATGGGAGTGCCACAAGGTTCCATTCTGGGCCCCCTGCTTTTTACCCTTTACATAAATGATCTACCAACTGTGTGTAAGAGTAAAATCATCATGTATGCTGATGATACAGTGCTATATGCACATGGTAAAACTGCGGAAGAAGTCGCTCAAAAACTGACCAAAGAGATGAGACAAAGAGACAGCAAACATTAGCTAGATACCCGGAGGTACTCGAGAACAGAAACTCTAATCAGAGTCCTCTAGATGAGGCCTTTACCGTGCCTGAGCTGAGGAGGGCTCTGAGTAAGAGTAAAAGAACGACACCTGCTAAAGACAATATGAGCTTTACTATGATAGAACATTTAAATGCTTCTGCATTGGGTAAAGTACTGGAGTTATTGAACAAGGTTTGGGAGGAGGGGAAGCTTCCAGTAGGGTGGAAAGAAGCAATTATTATTCAGATTAAGAAACCTGGGAAAGATCCTACAGATCCTGATCATTACAGACCGACAGCTTTAACTTCACATGTGTGTAAAACCATGGAGAAAATGATTCCAGAAAGAATAACATACTACTTAGAAAGAAATGAGCTTCTTTCAGCACTTCAGAGTGGATTTAGAAGGGGGCGTAGTACTCTGGACCCTTTAATATGTTTGGAAACTGATGTTAGGAAAGCTCAAGCTAATAAAGAGGGGGTGCTAGCTGTTTTCTTTGATATAGAGAAGGCGCAGGAGGTCTTTTAATACAGCGAGATAAAATGGGTATTGGAGGTAAAATGTAGAACTGGATCAAAGGTTTCTTATCTGGTAGCTACATAATAAGGAGCAAATATTACAATTACTTAGATATGTATACAGACGGATCTAAAGATGAAGAGGACGAGGTAGGAATAGGAATATACAGTGAGGAAAATAAGTATTTGAACACCCTGCTATTTTGCAAGTTCTCCCACTTAGAAATCTGGAGGGGTCTGAAATTTTCATCGTAGGTGCATGTCCACTGTGAGAGACATAATCTAAAAAAAAAATATCCAGAAATCACAATGTATGATTTTTTAACTATTTATTTGTATGATACAGCTGCAAATAAGTATTTGAACACCTGTCTATCAGCTAGAATTCTGACTCTCAAAGACCTGTTAGTCTGCCTTCAAAATGTCCACCTCCACTCCATTTATTATCCTAAATTAGATGCACCTGTTTGAGGTCGTTAGCTGCATAAAGACACCTGTCCACCCCATACGATCAGTAAGAATCCAACTACTAACATGGCCAAGACCAAAGAGCTGTCCAAAGACACTAGAGACAAAATTGTACACCTCCACAAGGCTGGAAAGGGCTACGGGGAAACTGCCAAGCAGCTTGGTGAAAAAAGGTCCACTGTTGGAGCAATCATTAGAAAATGGAAGAAGCTAAACATGACTGTCAATCTCCCTTGGACCGGGGCTCCATGCAAGATCTCACCTCGTGGGGTCTCAATGATCCTAAGAAAGGTGAGAAATCAGCCCAGAACTACACGGGAGGAGCTGGTCAATGACCTGAAAAGAGCTGGGACCACCGTTTCCAAGGTTACTGTTGGTAATACACTAAGACGTCATGGTTTGAAATCACGCATGGCACGGAAGGTTCCCCTGCTTAAACCAGCACATGTCAAGGCCCGTCTTCAGTTTGCCAATGACCATTTGGATGATCCAGAGGAGTCATGGGAGAAAGTCTTGTGGTCAGATGAGACCAAAATAGAACTTATTGGTCATAATTCCACTAACCGTGTTTGGAGGAAGAAGAATGATGAGTACCATCCCAAGAACACCATCCCTACAGTGAAGCATGGGGGTGGGAGCATCATGCTTTGGGGCTGTTTTTCTGCACATGGGACAGGGCGACTGCACTGTATTAAGGAGAGGATGACCGGGGCCATGTATTGCCAGATTTTGGGGAACAACCTCCTTCCCTCAGTTAGAGCATTGAAGATGGGTCGAGGCCGGGTCTTCCAACATGACAATGACCCGAAGCACACAGCCAGGATAACCAAGGAGTGGCTCTGTAAGAAGCATATCAAGGTTCTGGCGTGGCGTAGCCAGTCTCCAGACCTAAACCCAATAGAGAATCTTTGGAGGGAGCTCAAACTCCGTGTTTCTCAGCGACAGCCCAGAAACCTGACTGATCTAGAGAAGATCTGTGTGGAGGAGTGGGCCAAAATCCCTCCTGCAGTGCAAACCTGGTGAAAAACTACAGGAAACGTTTGACCAAACAAAGGCTACTGTACCAAATATTAACATTGATTTTCTCAGGTGTTCAAATACTTATTTGCAGCTGTATCATACAAATAAATAGTTAAAAAATCATACATTGTGATTTCTGGATTTTTTTTTTTGATTATGTCTCTCACAGTGGACGTGCACCTACGATGACAATTTCAGACCCCTCCATGATTTCTAAGTGGGAGAACTTGCAAAACAGCAGGGTGTTCAAATACTTATTTTCCTCACTGTATATAGCAACAATGAATGTAAGCGTTGGGAAAAGATGACCTGATCAGGCTTCAGTGTACACGGCAGAGATGATGGCGATTATTGTAGGACTGCGGTGGGTTGAGGAAGTAAAACCAGACAGAGGGGTGTGTTGTGTTGATTCTCTAGCAGCCCTTTATAGTATTCAAAATATGAAATCTGATAGAGAAGATCTAATGCTAGAAATCCAACAGAGTTTATTTAGATTCCAGACACTACGGATAGATGTGAGATTCTGCTGGGTACCTGCCCACGTAGGTATAAAAGGGAATGAGAGAGCAGACAAAACAGCTAAAGAATCAACCGGGACGAACGATGTCATAAATACAGTCCTTGGAAAAGGAGAAGCTGAGGCGATAATCAGAAAAGAAACCATGAAGAAATGGCAGGACGGCTGGGATGTGGATAAAAGTGGAAGGAAATATTACAGCTTGTAAAAATCTATTAATGCTCAGGGAACAGAAGAGAGGAGAGCGTTTTAACCAGGCTGAGGTTTGATCATACAGGCTTAAATAAAACATTGTTTTAATGGGCAAAAGTCAATCAGACGTAGGAAATACAGGGATGAGAGGATGAGGCTGAATCAAAAGATGAGTCAGGCAGGAAGGAAGTGAACCTTGAAGGTTTATTAGGCCCAACAGGAGACGGAGTAAAGGACACACAGAAAGCTGTAGCACAATATCTGAAAAATATAGAGATATCAGAGATAGTGAGAGCAGCTGATGTTGGGGAGGACAGACAAATGTGTTGTAAATTATTACTGATGCAGTCAGAAACTCTCCAACCTCTTTGCAACCTGCAGCTTTGGCTTTTTTATCCAGCGCCCAGCAAAGTAACTTTAAAAAATAAGAGGACCAATATTTCAGTGTAAAATGCTCAGCAGGTGATCAGAAATGACGTCATAACAGGAAACCAGAATAATCCAGGAGATCATTTCCATGGATGGAAAGAATGAGATCAATAAGTTATTGATTTCCAGTATTGATCAAGAAGAAAGCTGAAAGAAACCAAATGTGTTGATCACTCAGAACAAAGAAATGCAGCTTTAATAGTTTGGATCAATGAAAGATTGATGCTCAGTTCTCTTCACATCATGTTGAAGCCGTTTGGAAAGAAAAGTGGGCTCAGAGTCGGCAGAAGAAAAGGCCAAATATTGATGAAGCAGGAAGAGCAGTTTGGGATCAGATCCAGATCAGATGTTTGTGTGTCTCGGTGTTCTGGACTGATGTTGAACATGTGGAGCTGAGATTCATTTACAGAACAGAGATGAAAACATTTGAAAGCTTCTTCTCTTCAAAGTTCAGCTTTAGATCCAGAAATGTAAAAGTCCAGCAGCTCAACACTGACAGGAGACATTACTGTGAAGCAGCACATGGACAAAACAATCCCAGCAGCATCAAGACTCTGATCATCTCCAACAGCTTCCTGTGTTTCTGTCCCCTGTTAGCTGCTGCTCTCATCTGCTTCTGTCAATAAAGTTATTCAAACTGCTGCTGCTGTCTGTGCAGCTCATGTTCTGCTTTGTTGTCCTCTCAGTCTGTCAGGTGGAGGTGGAGGAGGGGGCGGAGTCTGTCCTGCTGCCCTGCAAGACCACAGACAACCTGCCTGAGGACGCTACAGTGAGGTGGATCCACTATGATCCCTATGAGACGGTCCACATGTATCAGAACGGCTCTGACCAGCCTGACCAACAGGACCAGGTTTACAGAGACCGAACAGAGATGAAGGAAGACCTGCTGAGAACTGGAGACCTCAGTCTGACCCTGAAATCCCCCACAGACAGAGACGGAGGACGATACAGGTGCAAAGTCTACAACATGAAGGGAGACCTCATGAGAGAGAAAAGAGTTGATCTCAGGGTCAAAGGTCAGTATGCAGACTGAGGTCATAGTCTCTGTGTTTGTCTCTGTCTGACTGTCCTCTGTCTCCTCTGCAGAGAGAAGCAGGAACAGAAGCAGCTCCACTGATCCAACTCCTCTGATGGCCGATCAATCTGTTTGATCTTTGATCCGATCTGACTCTGGATCAGAGAGAAAATGGAGGTGAAGCAGCTGATGGAGGACGGATGAAGACAGGACACTTCACTCTGACTCCTCCTACTGACTCTCACACACAGTCTACACACTCACTATTGATTCCTGCTGATCAGTGATGTCAGAGTGAGGTCAGCGTGATGTCACATGGCTTGAACGGGCGTGTTTCCTGTGAACCTCCCAGCGGCTGGATAACAGCTGCGGCTCTCTGGATATTTGTGGCTCGTTCTAATGCGTGCAGTCAAACAAACTTTATTTCTACAGACACAGAGAAGTCAGCAGCTGCAGGAAATCAGAACCACTGACAGGAAGTTAAGAGTCAAGTTAAACCACATGTCAGAACTTTCTACAGCAGCAGGATTTAGAAGATGCTGGAAGCTGCTGTCTTTAGATTTTGGACCCGTCACAATTTGTCACATTTTCTGAAGCCACAACAAATCTTGTTGAAAGGAAACAGTTGATTGAACGTCCAGTTTCAAACGAAGAGTCAAAGCTTCTCTTTGTGTCGACTCCTTTAATGAGAACATTGAAAAGGACTCGAGTCCAAGTCTCAAGTGTCCAGCTCAGATTATTCCAGCACCAACCCTGGCAGGATGCAAGTTAAACAGAAAGCAACACATTTAGTGACAGAACAGAAAGCAGCCAGCTGTTAAAATGGACTCAATAAGAGCAAAATATCACACATTACTAACCAGATTTGTACAGGTAAAGCAGAGACAGGAGATGTCACTTCGTTCAGCAGGCTGTTCTCTGTCTGAGGAGCGGAAGCACCGCGCAGCCCTACTAGCGCTCACATAAGTGGATACTCCCTCTTGTGGTGTCGTTAAGCAATTACACCCTCAAAAATACTACCCAAACCCCGTGCAAAATAGATTCACCTTATGCCCCTTTCTTACAGGCTATTACACAAATTATCTTAATAATTGTGACAAAACATTTGTAGGAGTCACACACTCCCCAACAAAAATAAAATGGCTCCCGACATTTTACCTTTAAACTCTTACTTAACATTACTTAAAACGTTCAAAACTCAAAGTGCCCTTGGTTGATCTCTTAAGCCATGTAAATAGGCCTGTTGTGAAATACTGGAATGGTGTAAGGGTGTGGCACATAGGGAGGTGGGATGTGATATGACACTGGAAGAGGGTAAGTTGTCAGGTGATATGGCTGCACGCCACAATGTGTCATGTCTGGTGTTTCATAAACCTCTGCACTACTGGATGAGGGATGTACCTGGACCGAAGGCTGACCTAGTGTATGGTAAGTGAACACCGCCTATCTCTAGTAGACCTCCTGAGCGTCTGTTCATCAGGATCACGGGTCAGGCCAGGCCCAACTTGTGGCTCGTCTGGTAGGAACTGATTAGTCTCACTTTCACTCCCCATGGAAGGTGCTTGCCTGATCTCTGGCTCTCTCACTACTACGGGTTCCTCCTCTTCACTGTCACTGTAAAGTTCACCATTTTGGTGTTCACTCTCTTGTTCTGCTTCTGTTTCTCCTTGTTTAGTTGTTGTTTTTGTGAGTGCCTTTCCCATGTGCTTTGTCCCTCTTTCCGTCACATGTCCATAGTTGATTGTTCGACTGTGCTCAACAGGAACAGGATGCAATAGATTGCGATGCAAGACACGATTTACTGCCATCCATCTCTGAGACCACTTTGTAGACTGGGTTGTCACTGATCTGGTCTTTCACAACATAGATAATGTTCTCCCAATACGACCTCAGTTTTCCAGGACCACCCCTTTCACTCAAGTTTTGTACCAGCACCCTATCTCCTGGCTGCAACATTACTACTTTCGTGTGCTGGTCATAGTATTTCTTACCACGAGCACCTGACCTCCTGCTGTTTTCTGATGCGATCTGGTAAGCTTCGGTCATTCGTTCCGCTCACTTCTCAGCATAACCTCTTGCTGTCTGTGGTGGCTCACTGGTGGTCATCCTGAATAGAAGGTCTATTGGTAACCGTGGGTGTCGGCCAAAAAGCAGGAAAAAAGGTGAGTACCCAGTTACTTCGTGACGCATACAATTGTACGCATGGACAATCTGAGGAAGATAATCCTTCCACCTTTCCTTTTGTTTCTCACCTAGGGTCCTCAGCATCTGCAGCACCGTGCGGTTGAACCGCTCAGCTGGATTTCCCTGTGGGTGATAGAGGGTCGTCCGTGAATATCAAACTCCGCTCAGTTGTTGCAGTGTCCGAAAGAGTTTGTTTTCGAATTCGCGCCCTTGGTCGTGGTGCAGCTTTAATGGGTAGCCGAACCTGGGGATATAGCTATTGAAAATATTTTCCGCTGCTGTTTTCCCACTCTTATTGTGGGTTGGGTATGCCTGTGCATACCTAGTGAAGTGGTCTACCACAACTAGGATGTATTGGTAGCCTCCTCTGCTCGGTTCTAAGTGTAGGTAATCTATTCCTCCATTGGTGAGCTGGTGATTATACTAGACATTGGGGCTCGTGTGTGTGTCGCTGGCTTCTTTTGTTTTATGCATGGACACTGTCTGGTAACATAAGGTTCGATCTCTCGCCTCATGTAGGGCCAATAAAACCTTTGCCTTGCCAAACTGAGGACCCTTTCTGTTCCGACATGGCCCATGTCATCATGTAGGTGCTTAAGAACACGTGACTTAAAGGTGGCAGGTAAGACTAGCTGACGTCTCTCTGCTGTCTTACGGTAAAGGACCCCATCTTCGATGTGAAGCTTGGTCCATTCATGCAGCATTTTCCTGCTACTGCCCCTTACACTGCGTTTCATGTCATCTGTGAGTGTTTTGTTCGAATCCTTGATTTTCAAAACCTCCCCTATCACTTGGTCTGTTCTCTGAGCTTTTTGGAGTTCAATCAGATCAATGGGTGGCACGACTTCTCTGCTGTTTGGTTCATGTTGATCACCCTGTGCTAGAGCCAAGGCAGCAACCCAGGCAACATCTCCACGCTTGCCTGCCCCACAGCCTTCCCAGGTGGCAGTGACAGCTTCTCTGGGGAGTTCCTTCTCGCAGACTGCCCACTTTAGGGCGAGAAACTCTAGTTTGCCTGAGTCTGTAATTCTTTTCTGCGGGTGTAAGGGTTCTTGAGCCGTATCCTATTACTCTCAGCCTCCCACCCTGGTTTTGGTAAAGGACAGCTCCAAGTCCTTTGTCGGATGCATCGGTGTGGAGTACGAATGGAAGCTCGAAGTCTGGGTAAGCGAGAACGGGGGGTTCGCCAACATGTCAATCAACTTACACAGTGTCTCCTGATGTTTCTCCGTCCATTTGACTAGGGTTTTAGAAGGTAACTGTGCACCCTTTCCTCTCTGTCCACCATGTCTTCCCTGAGGCAGCTCTTCTCTGTTTCTCTTTGGTTGTAGGAGTTCATAGATGGGTGTCGCCAGCTTGGAGAAGTCCTGAACATATGAGCGGTAGTAGCTCAAGACGCCCATGACTCTCCGCACATCTCCTACAGTGGCAGGTGCTTCATTCTTCATAGCATACACCGCCTCCAGGTCCTTAGGATCAATGCGCACACCCTCGCCTGAAACCAAACGACCAATATATCTCACTTCTCGTCTAAACAGGTCACATTTTGTGGGCCTGAGTTTGACTCCATGAATCTGCAGGGCCCTCAGGACCTTTCTCAGCCCTTCAACATGGTCCTCAAATGTTGTAGCATAGCACAGTATATCATCCAGATATGGAATACAACACTCATCACGAAGGGGAGCAAGCATCTCTTCCATACTGCGTTGGAACGCAGCAGGTGCGTTCGTCAGTCCGAAAGGGATTCGCACCCACTCATGAAGACCCCAGGGGGTGATGAATGCTGTCAAGTGGTGCGACCCTTCTGCAATGAACCCCTGATGGTACGCCTTCCCCTGGTCTAGGATGGAGAACCAGCTGTATCCACCCAAAGTGTCTGTGAGATCTTGTATTCTCGGCAAGGGGTGTCGTTCCTGAACAGTGCGTTGGTTCAAAAGACGATAATCGATACAGAGTCTGAGCGTCCCATCTTTCTTCCGCACGGAGAATACTGGTGCTGAATATGGGGATTTGGACTTCACAATCCACCCTCTAACTAGAAGATCCTCAATGTACTCCTTTACCTCTTTGTAATGGGGTTTTGGGATAGAGGTATATGGTTTCTGTATTGGAGTACTGTCCTTGAGAGTAATGGACATTTCCAGGCCAGGTATACACCCCATGTCATTGTCGTCTCGTGCGAATTCCCTGGACTCTTCTCGTAACATTTTCCTTACAATCGTCTGCTGACCCAGGTTAAATGGTTAAGATCAACTGGTGGGTCCCATTCCTGGGCCACACTACCCCGTTTGTCTTGCTGAGTCCCTGACTGTTCTTCCCTGTTGGCTTCCTGGGTAACATTTGGTAACATTTGCCTCTGTCTGGTTTAGCTCGTCAGTTGGTACAACTCTGGATATTGCCTCAATGCTCCCAAGGGCAGTTTTACAGAACAGGGTCACGTCGTGTTTGGTGTGGTTGCCAATGGGGACTCTCACAAAAGGGAATCTAGCCTAACAAATCTCTAGAAGGCTGTCACCAATATCCAGTTGTTGTAACTGTGGGTTGCTCTCGCTGGGTTCAAAGAGCACAAGTGGGTTGGACGTGTCAAGTGTGGATGGTATTTTACACTTAACGTGTCTTATCTGGCCAGCTGGAATTGACCACATCTTGCGGTCCCACTTTCAGCAAAGTCTGGCCGACATCATTACTGGTGACTTTTGCGTGGATGAAGTTGACTAATGCAGCGGCCTTGTCATCCTGGAGGATGACAAGGAAAGACTCACAAGAGTTGGTATATCTCCTTTGGTCCTAATATCAGCTGTTCAACCACATTAAAACCAATCAAGGGGCAGTCCATGGGCACACTACTCACCAGGAAGGGCACTTGTATCGTTAGATTTGGGTCACTGTTGTTTGGAAAGCTCACCATCACCCCCAACCAACCATCATATGCCAACGGTTGCCCATTTACAGCTAACACACTGAGAGCATTTTGTCCAATAAGTTCCGCCAAAGGCCGTAGCCTGTGGTCAGGGAGGTAAGTCTTTTCCCACTGCCGGTCCAGGAGGCTGACTTGGGCACCAGATTCCAACAAACAGTCCACTGCATAGCTGTGTATGTAGCACTTGATTTTACACTTCTTTCCCACTAGCCGGGCCACTCTCTCATTAGTTTCAGCCTCTTTGTTTGTTACCAGGGGAGTCACACAGCTGGTTTTTACATGGGCGGATTCATCTGTTAGTACGTCTAGCTTTGTAGGGTACTGCTGTCTGCTTCTGTTTGGTGAATGGGGCTCAGAAGAGGGCTGGCTAGTGTTCGTTGCTTGCCTCCGTTTGAGACATCCTACTGCCCTGTGACCTGCCTCCCCACATATGAAACAATGGTTGCAAGAGCCAGCTCTCCTTTCCACACACTTAGGACAGCCATATTGTTTTGTTGATTGTCGGACCTTTTGCTTTGTATGGATGCACTGACAAGTTTGTTCAGGGGTCTTGAGGACGGTGAGTCTCTCCACCACTTTAGTCAGAGCATCAACCTTTGCACTCAGTTCCTCTATGGCTCTATGTTTGTTTTTTGCTTTGTAATCAGCTAGTTTCTCACTGTCTTTGTCAGGCTCAAGTTGAGCACTGTGAGCATGTGTTACCTTCTGTCAGGGACAATGTCCCAGTCTTCGCTTTCTCTCACTTTCCTCACTAGACACTTTGTTAACTTGTCTTATGAGTGCTTCATCTGAAACAGCATCATCAGACAAGAGAGGCTTGAGTTCACTACGGATGTCACTGTACTTGGGGAGAAGGCCCTGGTGGATGGTGCGCAGAAACACATTCTGGATTGTGCGGTGCTCATACTCAGTGTCCATATTATCCTGTCTGGATGCAAACGTGACTTTCTGTTTCAGTCCTATCATTCTGTAGAGGAACTGTTGGGGACTCTCAAACTCGTGTTGCTTGGTGCTCATTAACTATTTAAATAACTCACTACCGCTCTTTTCACTAAGATGAGAGCACATGAAGCTTTTAAGCTCAGAGAGAGTCAAATCATCCTTGTTAATCAACATGTCCTTAAACTGTCCTGGCTTGATGATGCGGAGCACACCTTGTATGATCTCCCCCTCTGGATGGCCTGCTTTCAGTCCCTCCTCAATCTGCTTGCATAATCCATGGTAGCTTATGTCTGATGAGTTGTCTCCACTAGTCATTGCTCTCGAGTGAGGTGACTGCATGGTAGTGGAGGTAAGTGTGTGTTGTGCTGGGGGTGTTATCTTAAACTCAGCTAACTTCCTACCCAGAGCCTCATAGTTAGCCATTAGCTTGTTGTACTCAATTGTTTGTGGGTCATTAGGGTCTACAGGAAATGTGTCTGTACTATTAATCTCTACAGTACCCTGCGTGGCTGCCACAGCCTGTGTGAGCGTTGGTGCCTGTGTAATATCACCTTCTGGCACTGTAGGCTGACTGACCTCAGTAACACGACTAGGAATGAGTTTAGTAATAGCATCTCTCAAAGACAGCAAGTAAGAAAATCCCTGGTCCTCTAGCTCAAGTAGCGTTTTACAATTCAGGTAAGTGCATATATAATCAAAACAGCTTTCCTCATCACCATAAACTACTCTTGAAAAATCAAGATCTGGTACCAGTGTCATGTTCTCAGCAACCTGAAAGAGTTCCTCCACTGTCAGTGTGTGAAGACTTTTCTTTATCTTCCAGGTGAGTTCTTTTCTTTCAACATCCTCCATACTGTGTCCCTTGGCCGGCAATGTCTCACAGTCCAGTCACCTCGAGCAAGCAAAACGGCACTCCTCCAGCTGGGGTCCCCTCACAGTCTCCGGTCCCGTAGCCACCTCAGTTGCACGCCTGCCACTCCACTGTACTGGTCCTGCGATGTCTGTTTGGTTTGTAGGTTAAAGGATCAGCACAGACTCTCGTCAGATGCTGATCCCAGCAATGCCTCCAAATTTCTGTTACAGGCCTCAAGCAAGAGTTACTTGTGAACAGATATTCTGTCCTGTTTTGTACAGGAAAAGCAGAGACAGGAGATGTCACTTGTGATCGTTCAGCAGGCTGTTCTCTGTTTTTATTACAGAATTTATCTCTTTTTCCACCTCCTTCACTTAAACCACATTGACCACATTCCTTTTAACAAATTACACTTTACACTGTAGTTTCCCACTACAGCATGGATGTTAATGCATTAAACCGCTGGAATAACATGTTTTACAAATTTTATATCAGTTCAACAGAAATAATTCACCTCTCCTAGCCTCAACTGGTGCTGTAACTCACATTTACTGCTTTTTAATTTCAATTTCAATTTTATTTATATAGCGCCAAATCACAACAACAGTTATCTCACAGCGCTTTTCATAAAAGAGCAGGTCTAGACCGTACTCTGTGATGCTATTTACAGAAGCCCAACAGTTCCCACCAAGAGCAAGCACTAGGCGACAGAGGCAAGGAAAAACTTCCTTTTAAGAGGCAGAAACCTCGAGCAGAACCATGGCTCAGGGTGGGCGGCCATCTGCCTCGACCGGTTGGGGTGAAGGAGAGAGAGAGAGAGGAGAGGAACAGAGAGAAAAGAGAGGGATGTAAGGAGAGAGAGAGGGAGGCAGCCAACACACACAGAGGTACAGACAGTGAAGGTGATGTTGCTATAGACTAAATGAAAAATGGTACAGATATTTATAATAGTGTTAATGGTAACAGTCGTAATGTTAATGATTATAATAACAATAATAACAATAAGACTAGCAACAATAGTCGTTGCAGCAGAGGGTGTCGAGCAGGAACACGGGGGCAGCAGGTGACCCGCAACCACAGATCCAGACTCCACAGCTCCAGAGCCAGAAAACCTGCAGGAAGTGATGGGAGGAGAGAGGAGAGGGACGAGAAAGCCAGAAAGGGGAGAAGTTGTGTTAGTAACATGCAATAATGGGATGAGGTTGCATACAGAGGGAGAGAAAGTAGAGGAGAGGAGCTCAGTGCATCATAGGAAATCCCCCGGCAGTCTAGGCCTATAGCAGCATAACTAAGGGATGGTTCAGGACTCACCTGAGCCAGCCTTAACTATAAGCTTTATCAAAGAGGAAAGTCTTAAGCCTACTCTTAAATGTGGAGATGGTGTCTGCCTCCTGAACCCAAACTGGAACCTGGTTCCACAGGAGAGGAGCTTGATAGCTGAACGCTCTGGCTCCTAGTCTACTTTTGGAGACTCTAGGAACCACAAGTAACCCTGCATTCTGGGAGCGCAGTGCTCTGGTGGGGTAGTAAGGTACTATGAGCTCTTTAAGATAAGATGGTGCCTGACCATTAAGAGCTTTGTAGGTAAGAAGAATGATTTTAAATTCTATTCTGGATTTTACTGGAAGCCAATGCAAAGAAGCTAAAACAGGAGAAATGTGATCTGTTTTCCTGGTTCCTGTCAGAACACGTGCTACAGCATTCTGGATCAGCTGAAGAGTCTTAACACTTTTTCGAGCAGCCTGATAATAAGGAATTGCAGTAATCCAGCCTAGAAGTAACAAATGCATGGACTAGTTTTTCTGCATCATTTTTAGACAGGATGTTCCTGATTCTCGCAATATTACGTAGGTGAAAAAAGGCGGTCCTTGAAATTTGCTTAATGTGAGACTTAAACGACATGTCCTGATCAAAGATAACTCCAAGATTCCTCACAGTGGTGCTGGAGGCCAGGGCGATGCCAACCAGGGAAACTATATCTTTAGATAATGCGTCACGGAGGTGCTTAGGCCCCAGAGCAATAACTTTTATCTGAGTTTAACATTAGAAAATTACAGGTCATCCAGGTTTTAACATCCTGAAGGCACATTTGAAGTTTAGCTAACTGATGAGTTTCATCTGGCTTGATCGATAGATATAACTGAGTATCATCTGCATAACAATGAAAGCTTATGGAATATTTCCTGATAATATTGCCTAAAGGAAGCATATATAAAGTGAAGAGGATTGGTCCGAGGACAGATCCTTGTGGAACTCCATGACTAACTTTGGTGCATGGAGGACTCATCGTTAACATGTACAAACTGAAATCGATCTGATAAATAGGACTTAAACCAGCTTAGAGCGGTTCCTTTAATGCCAATGAAATGTTCCAGTCTCTGCAATAGGATCTGATGGTCAATGGTATCAAATGCAGCACTAAGATCTAATAAAACCAGTACAGAGACAAGTCCTTTGTCTGATGCAATAAGGAGGTCGTTAGTAATTTTCACCAGTGCTGTCTCTGTGCTATGACGAGCTCTAAATCCTGACTGAAAATCCTCAAATAAACTATTGCTCTGTAGAAAGTCACACAGCTGTTTAGCAACTGCTTTCTCCAGAACCTTAGAGAGAAATGGAAGGTTAGATATAGGTCTATAGTTTTCTAAAACATCGGATCAAGTTTGGGCTTTTTCAGAAGAGGTTTAATTACAGCTACTTTAACGTACTGCGGTACATAGCCTGTTGATAGAGATAGATTGATCATATCTAGTATAGAGGTGCTGACTAAGGGTAAAACATCTTTAAGCAGCCTAGTCGGGATGGGGTCTAAGAGGCAGGTTGATGGTTTAGATGAAGAAATTATTGAAGTTAGTTGGTAAAGATTGAGTGAAGCAAAACAGTCTAAACATATATCTGGTTCTACAGCTGTTTCTAAGGTTCCTGAGTTAAGAGATAAGTCGGTGCCAGTTGAGGGCAGGTCTTGGTGAATTTTGTCTCTAATAGCTAGAATTTTATCATTAAAGAAGCTCATGAAGTCGTAACTACTGAGAGCTATGGGAATACTTGGCTCAATAGAGCTGTGACTCTCTGTCAGCCTGGCTACAGTGCTGAAAAGAAACCTGGGGTTGTTCCTATTTTCCTCTATTAATGACGAGTAGTATGCTGCTCTGGCATTACGGAGGGCCTTCCTATAAGTTTTAAGACTATCTTGCCAAATTAAACGAGAATTTTCCACTTTGGTGGAACGCCAATTCCTCTCAAGTTTCCGCGATATTTGCTTTAATTTGCGAGTTTCAGTATTATACCATGGAGCTAACCGTCTTTGTTTTAGTATTTTCTTTTTTAGAGGGGCTACAGAGTCGAGTGTCATTCGCAGCGAGCCTGCAGCACTATCAACAAGATGATCGATTTGGGAGGGACTGAAATTAGCATAGGAGTCCTCCGTTACTTTGTGACTAGATAATGTATTTAGAGCTGATGGAATCGCATCCTTAAATTTAGCTACAGCACTATCAGACAGACATGTTGTATAGAAATTTTTGCCCAATGGCGTGTAGTTCAGCAATACAAACTCAAAAGTTATCAAACAGTGAGGAACAAGAGGGATTCTGTGGGAACACCACTAAATGTTCAATTTCAATACCATACACCAAAACAAGGTTGAGGGTGTGGTTAAAACAGTGAGTCGGTTCATGAACACTCTGAGAGAAACCAATGGAATCTAACAGAGAGATAAACGCAGTACTAAAGCTGTCATTCTCAACGTCCACATGAATATTAAAATCCCCTACAATAATAACTTTGTCCGTTTTAAGGACTAAAGTTGACAAAAACTCTGTAAATTCAGATAAGAATTCAGAATACGGGCCAGGTGCTCGGTACACTATAACGAAGAGAATTGGTTGCAGTGATTTCCAACTTGGGTGCGAAAGACTAAGAACAAGACTTTCAAATGAGTTATAGTTTGGTTTAGGTTTAGAGCTGATTAGTAGGCTTGAGTTGAAGATAGCTGCAACTCCACCTCCTCGGCCTGTGCCTCGAGGAATGTGAGTATTAATATGACTGGGAGGGGTGGATTCATTTAGGCTAACATATTCTCCATCACCCAGCCAGGTTTCAGTAAGACAAAATAAATCAATATCATAATCTGATATTAGTTCATTTACTAATACACCTTTAGAAGAGAGAGATCTGATGTTTAAGAGTCCACATTAAACTCTCCTATTCGTTTGCACTATCGCCTTGTGGTTTTAATTTTTATGAGGTTTTTATGCACAGCTCCTCTTCTGTTTACCTTTTTAAATAATTTCAATGGACGGGGGACAGACACCGTCACTATAGGATTTTCACTTAGTAACTCCTGAAATGGAGGAGCAGAGAAGTGTGTTAAACTGCGACTCTGCCTCCTGGTCTCAACTCTGGGTTGTCATGGATTTGGTCCACTAATAAACTTGGCCAGATTTCTAGAAATGAGAGCTGCTCCTTCCCAAGTGGGATGGATGCCGTCTCTCCGGATCAGACCAGGTCTTCCCCAGAAAGTCTGCCAGTGATCTACAAAGCCCACATCGTTTGCTGGACACCACCTCGACAACCAGCGGCGGAATGATGACATGCGGCTATACATGTCATCACTGGTCAGATTTGGCAGGGGTCCAGAGAAAACTACGGTGTCCGACATTGTTTTTGCATATGTACACACCGACTCAACATTAATCTTAGTGACCTCCGATTGGCGTAACCAGGAGTCATTACCGCCGACGTGAATAACAATCTTACTGTATTTACGTTTATCCTTAGCCAGCAGTTTCAAATATGACTCAATGTCGCCCGCTCTGGCCCCAGGGATGCACTTAACTATGGCCGCTGGCTTCGCTAAATTCACGTTTCTCAAAATGGAGCTGCCAATGATCAGAGTTGGTTTCTCAGCGGGTGTGTCGCTGAGTGGGGAAAATCTGTTAGAACGTGAACAGGTTGATGATGCCCCGTGGACTTTGAATGCTTACGACTATTCCTCCTTCGGACAGTCACCCAGCCACCCCTTCCTGGCTGCACAGGGGATGCCGGGGGACGGCTACCACAGGCTAACTCAGGCCGACCCGCACTGACTACCGGGGACTGGCTAGCTACAGTAGCTAAAGACTGATCTACCAAGGTGCGGAGCCGGACTTCTAAATCACTGAGCCTCGCCTCCATGTCTATAAATAAACTACACTTATTACCGCTAAAGGAGGCAGAGGAGTAACTGAACATCTGACACACCGAGCAGGAGAAAGTAGGAGAGAGAGAGGGAGAAGGAGAAGCCATCGCTAGCTGCTAAGCTAAAGTCGCTAATGGCTAAGCTAAAGTACTGTAGCGTCAGCTACCAAAACTTTAGAACAAGTATGAGATTGAACAGCAGTCATTAAAAGATGGAAAGAACTGTGAGTGCTTAGGCAAAATTACTGTAAAGAATAAGTGTTTAGCAGACAGTTGGCTGCTGTAATCTAACAAATGTAACTGTTATTTAGCGAGAGCAGCACAACACGGTACCAACACACAAGCACCGGAAACGGAAATGAGTCAACACGCTTACCGCAATACATCAGCAGTACGTCCCTCTTTCAGTGTAGATTTTTTTTGGCCAGTGTATATAGCTCCAAAATCATCCAGTAGCTTTGATACTGTTAAGCCTACTTAGTTTCACACTTCCCCAACATTCTCACATACAACATATAAAAACAATACAGAGGCCTACATTATACAAGATACACGTTCTTTTTTTTAACCTTATCAACATGTTACACTGTTCAGTATTATCATGGTGACAGGACTAGAATGCAGGACTTGACACATCCTCAACTCAACAAACTTTTTAAATAATCGTAGCTCAACCTTTAGCTTTAGCAAATACAAAGAAAAGTGCAATGTCCAGGAGCAATGACCATAAACAAAACAAACGTTGGAAGGCCGCCATGTTGGTTACACTTTCTACACGGGTGCTAGCCACACTTTTAATTCAAAGTCTCTTAACTGAATAAACCACTGTTTTACACATCAAACGTTGTCAGAACGACATAGTAAGGGCTTTAGAAGATACTCCCTCTTGTGGTGTCGTTAAGAAATTACACCCTCAAAATACTACCCAAACCCCGTGCAAAATAGATTCACCTTATGCCCCTTTCTTACAGGCTATTACACAAAATATCTTAATAATTGTGACAACACATTTGTAGGTGTCACACAGACAACATAGTAAAACCAACCCAGGGACCAGTAGACTCCAGCACAATATACTAGCAGTCATTATGTTCCAGTACACAGGTCATGAACTGTTACCAGAGGAAATCAGAAGCTTACAGTAATCTGTTGGACTCAAAGATGTTATGTTATTAAAGTGCTGTTTATGCACTCAGATCTAATTCAATAATCTGGTTTCCTGCAGCGGTTTGAAGCCAAAATAAACATTTTGCTGTGATTTCATTTCAATAAACTGATCAAAATGATGCTGATTTGTTGAACATATGAATTCCTGCTCTGTCAGGTCTGTCTTCAAGATGACAAGCAAACATCTTTTAAAACGCTTGTTTTCTAAATGGAGTTCTGCTCAGTCAGGGCGATGCTATGCTAACTTGTTTCAAGTACGACGACGGCTGGAATCATCTATCAGACACAGATTCATTTTCAGACCTCACCAGGTAGTTCAGCTTCCCGCCTCTCTTTTCTCCCAGCATCCTCCTGTCTCGTCTGTAGAAATATGAACTAGTGGTCCACGCGGTCCTTGTGGTCCGGACCGGTTGCCGAGGGGTCCGTTGCTGGTCCAAAGCCACTGCACACCTCCTCTGTATAATAAAAGCTTTATTTGTAGAGCACTTTTCAACACGGGGAACAAAGAGCTTTAAAACAATCCATCTGTCAATAAAGGAAAATAAATGAGGCGTCACACAGTGAAAGCTTTTTGTAGAAATGTGTCTAAGAAGTGAGATGAAACCAGGAGCAGACTCTGAGCCTGTAGGGGCCCTGACAGCAGAGACCCTGTCCCCTTTGGCTTTGAGCCTAGACTTTGGAGCAGTTAGCAGAGCCCTACTAGAGGATCTCAGTCTGCGTCCTGGCTCATATGGGGATAAAAGCTCAGAGAAGGTGCGTGCCCATGTCTGGCCTTAAAAGTGATCAGAAGGATTTTAAAGTGCGTCCTAAAAGAAATATCTTTATTTTTATATCATTACATCAACAATTGTGTGGCTGCACAGTTACAACAGTGGTACTCACTAAATGTTGGTTTAGGATACAGACCATTGGAATAACATGAAACTTTCCTCTTTCATTGAATGTAGAGTTATGACCAGCAGGGGGCATAATAGACTAGCCTATACCCTTAATCCTGATGAAATGGTAAAATAATGACAATGTCCTGATTTTAACCAGGTGCTCGGGGTGGGAAACTAACATCATTTAAGATTAATTATCGACCAAGTCTTAATTGATATAGCTGGATATATCATACAGCAACAAGAAAGCAGTGTGAATACCATTTAAACTGCCTACTGAAGTCATTTCATTAACAGAAACATTACAATGTTTCCATCTGCATCTGACTCTACATCAAAAACACCCACAGAGCTAGACAACCACGAGAAAGGTTTTTATTTCAAAGATACCCCATCAATTGCCCGTCATTGGCCCATGGGTTTATAATGCAATCCAATAAAACAGCAGCAGAATAACCAGAGATCAATATCTTCCTGCCTAATCTCAACAAAAAAATATCATTATATCCTTCAAAAACACAACATTTATTGCAGGGCTACATTAGGTCCAAAGCCTGTAAATGCCAAGAGTGAAAGTAACCCCTACAGCCATCCCATATGCCACTGAGGGCTCAGCTGCAGGATTTAGCACATTTTCTGATGTGTAAAGAGGACACGGTATCATATCAAGTCTGGCATTTCCCCACAATAGCGCATTGCAGCGGTGCATTTCAAGGCAGATGGAGTTGCTTGAGAGGTGCAAGTAGAGAAGACACGGGGTTGAACTCAATCAACTGTTAGGACGTCTGTACGGGTTTCTGTTTACATGGTGCAGAAAGGCATTAAATAAATTAAACAAAAATACAAAGAAATATCAGACTGAGATGATTATAACTGCCACAGATAGCAAAGAGAACGTGACAAGCGCTGTGTCTTGGCGAGGAGAACGAGGGATGAGAAAGGTAGGTGTCTCAGAAGGACCATCTCTCCTGTTTGCGGCGTCCATGTAGAGGGTGGATACTCTGATGGGGAGTTATAACTAGTGGACTCCTTATTTAAGTCCTATTGCACACGATGCTCAGGCTGTTCTGTGACCTTTGTCTGGTAAGTCAAATATACCTCAGCAAAATCCCACACTGCTAATGTTAACTGACTGGTATAGTAGGGCAACTTCAACATGGGTGAACTAATTCTGCATTTAGCATCTAATAATGTTTAGTTGATTGTAATTTCACATTCCTTTAAGGCAATTCTAAGGTAAAGCTGGCAAAATGATATATATACGTGCTTATTGTTTGTTACTGTAAGTGCCATTAACCTCCATTCCTCTCCTAGAACACATTAATTCGTCACGTATTTGCACTGGGAAACACTGTTCCTTCATTACAATAAACAATAGGAAATGTTTATTTTTAGTCGACCCCACATAAATGTTTCTACCAGGTAGCATGTTCTAAATTCCTTTAGGTCCTAATGCCTGAATGAGCACTGTGAATATCATCTCAACTATTAAATGCCATTAAGGATCTGTTTTGTGAGTTTATTTTACAAAAGCTCAACTCTCTTTGTTATGACTCACCAGTTCCAGCCATGGTACTATCCATTCTGAATGAAAGAAGTGGTTACAGGGCAGCTGTCTGAATGGCTCTCCCACTGCGAAGTTCTCTCTGTGCACTGGACACTGCACACAGCAGTCTACAGGAGAAAAGAAATGTTTATCAAGACCCCTGTGGTTACTAGGGGTGGGGAAAATAAGTCAATACATTGATACTTCACAGGGTTATTATTATCAATGTGCAACTAACAGACTGTATATAAAAAAGCCGTGTGAGCACGGTAACATTTAACAGTTGGCTCCCTCTCCTCATTCTGCAAAGGACACCTACGTGACAGGCAGCAGAAAATGACAAGCGAATGTGAAAGCAAGAGGAGCAGAGGAAAATACGAGCAATAAGCTGTCAGTGTGGCAGTAAATGTACAGTGTAGGTCAGAGTGTGTCCGCTAATAATAAGTCTGTTGTTTCCCTACTTGCTGGAAAGTGAAGGCAGTAAGCGCCAGCAAACATCTCCCCTGGGCTGCAGACTTCTGAACACTGAAATGGAAAGCTAACAGTACATTAATACACTAATAATAATCAATACACCGAGTACATAAATTAACAAAATGTTCCATGGTACTAAAAACAAGATCACAATAATCAACTTACAAGACTCCACACAACACAATAACTACAGTAGACGAGACAAAAAAAGAGCAGATCTATTTCCGTAAGGCGTAAAGTTAGCTCCACTCACTTTTGTCTCTAAACCTGCAATCAGACACACGTGCTGTCAGTTTATCCATTTTGTCTTGCAGCCATTCACATTTCATACTGACAGATGGGAGAGGAGAGATCTTCTCTATCAGCTGGAGGAGGGCCTGTGTTCTGCAACTGACCCAGTAACTACACTGACAAAAACACATCTGTGAGCTGCAAAGAAATGAAAAGGTGGCAGGGACATAAAGTTTGAGTTAAGTTCTATTAAGTTTGGTTTACCTGTGTTATCACGGCATCTAACCCTCTCATTCCTCAGGGATTCATTATCCCCTGGATTAGAGTGCAGGATACCGTCCTGAGAGAGACAGACACCACATGTTAATTAGAAACAATGCTTACACTGCCACTAGACCTTACACTGTGAAGCTATTATAATGTAATCTTACCTTGAGAGGGGAGGTAAGCTAGGGAATCCAGAGTTGGCAAAGAGACTGGCAAGAAACTGTTGTATAATCCTGAGACACAGAGAGAAATATACTGTCATCAAAAAGAAGAACAGTTGGGATTGTAAGAGCATAAATGCCACTGTTATTATAAATGGGTGTATGCAAGGCGGAGAAGAGAGCCAAGAGGAGGGTAAAGAAGACTGAAGCTGAACTGGTCAATTACTCCCCCCTCCACAGCAGGTGAGCGGTCTGGTCTACCGGTATCTCCTCTAGCTGACACGGAGAGACTGACTGGGAAACAACAAGGGAACAGTACAGAGGCATGGCCAAAACATTATCTATGGCTAGACTACCAATCGGTCCCGCCAGAGTGTCCACATCCTGGACTTGTCGCGTCTGTGCACGGCTTGGACCGAATCGGTTAGCAGGAACTTTTACTCTTTCTTGCCGATTCAGAACAGGAACTGCAGCCGCAGCCCCTTGTTGAGCAGTGTCGGATCCAAAAATCTCTGCCATGGCTGTGAGCGGTTGTGTTTGCCTCTGAAGACGTCCTTGGACAAATATCTGATATGGCGAGGCCAACAGGGCGCGAGCCACGGTTGTTATTAGACCGATATTGGGTGCAAGAGATTTTACAGAATGGGTGGGGGGGTGCGTGTGACCTCCAGATTAAAACTAGTTAGTTTTAAGTTACTACAGTTTCATAGTTTCGCATCATTGGGACTTCTGCAGTTTCTCTTCCATTATTAATGTCAGAACTGCTACTGCATTTACTAACTTCCTAGACAAGCTGCCCGTCCTGTTCATGTCCCCTTCATACAATGTCCCTCTTAACATGTTTTTCCACGACACGTTGACTTATGAAGGGGTGGGGGGGAAATACATTCCAGCGATCCGTTTCAAACCGGACCAGCCGCCTCCCACCACCACAGCTAACAGTTAGCAGTCAGGAAACCCCTCCAGCACAGATGCCAATTATTTAAAAACACAGTCAGTAAGGTTAATGTTCCATCGCCTAAAAATAATTAAAATGTAACGTTATATCAGTATCGAATGGGAGCATGCCAGAGAGGTTGAAAGAAAAAGGGGTTGGCCGGTTGGGGAATCTGGCACTCAGTTTCATGGTATTAACAGTAAATGTTGCCCTGTCTTTAATTGGGACTCTACAGTCGATGGTTTCTACCAAGTAATAAAAATCCGCTTCCCGGTATAACGTTAACTAAAAATAATAATTAAAAGTCATAACGTTAATGGCAGGAAACTCAGTCACCAATGTGTTACAGTCCTAAAGCTGTCCGCTGAAACGTTAAACTTAAACATGTGACATTACAAAACGTAGTTAGTGATAAATGTTTAATAGTTATTTACTTAGCTGCGTGGAAAATATCTCCAATTTCCTACAATACCAGGCCTACAACCTGGCAGTTAGCTTGCTGGCAGCATAGGGAGACGTGGCTGCAGTTTCTTAGTAGAGATGCACTTTCAAACAGCATTGCTCAAGTTCTGTAACAAACCTCATCTACTTTGGTTGATTATTCAGAGCTTTTAATTAGGACGTGTCACACTGGTCATCAACTACAGACCTAAGTAGACAATTACCTCAAATCATCTTAACATCATCACCTGAGAACAACGTTAGCAGGCAGGACATTCAAAGTTCAGCCATTATGAAAATAGCTGTCAGTGACTTTAAGCCAGACCAGAAGTGGGAGCGTGAATAATGCCATCGCACATAAACTTGGCGAACTGTCTGTAAGTGTCATGGATAGGAAGTTTCAAATTTACAAGACAGGTGTTAGCTTCAGGGTACTTCCGCCCTGCGTCGTGAATGAAGTTCAGCGTTGGGTGAGGAGAAAAACCAAGAGCGGGTACTCTGTCGGCTCCAGAGGCAAACACCAAAATTTGCTCCATTGTGACCTCAAACACACCATCTGTAAAATAGTGAGGTAATACAATAATTAACATCTGATGATCTGCAGGTTTGTGTCAGCAAGTCAGAGTCACTCAAAAAGAGTGAATCCTTTATTTACCCCCACATCTAGAAGAAAGTCTCTCCAGTACCCTTCCACTCTCTTCTCCAGGCGCCACCGGTTGCTTCCAGGAGGGGACACTGTCACTTGGAACAGGGAGATCAAGTCTGTGGCCTTTAGAGGCCTCTCAGATGAAGAAAACACCTCCTTCAAGATGCTGGCGTGAATTTTCATCAGGTCCAGGAGACCAAGTGTGTTCAGTCCTTCAGAAAGTCTGTAAAGAACCAAAATGATTAGAAGGTGTATGTTTGTCCTGCAAGGTACCATGTCTCACACACACGATTTATACGACAGCATGTTAAGGAAAATACATTTAAAAAAGCACATCTGCCCAACACACCCCAGTGATGAGAACCAAGCAATTTCCATAGGTTAAGTCAATCAGGAGTGTCGCACAACAAAATTGTGACCAGTCAAGCAGTGGGCCAATCAAACAGAAGCAAGTGCTCTATTAAACAGTATGTGGCACCATGCAGGTTTGTTTTTCCAGCAATAAATATTGATGTGAGCTCACCCAAGCATTTTCCTCAAAACATAAGTCAAATCTGGATCTGCTACCTCTTTGAGAGCGGGTGGTAATGTGGGTGTAGAGCAGAGGTTTTGGTAGAGCCTCTCCGGAAAGAGAAGGCAACACTCCTCCATGCAGCAGCACCACAGCCATCATAACTCCATAGGTTCTGTAGAGACCTCTGTGTAATGCTGCATAATGGAAATGTAGAACAATACATTTTGCAGTGGTTAACAGGTGGCAAATCTCTGCAGAATAAGGTGTTTATAACTCAAATCTAAAATCTTAATCCGCCAGGAATACAATCAATTTGTTAGAATATGACTTAGATTAATGGCATGTGTGGGTACTAACCGTGGCTGTCCAGGGACAGGTTCTTACTGTGGCCCTGTAAATAGGCTGCTATCTTTGAGAGCAGTCGGAAAAACCCCCGTGTAGGGCCCCCCTCATCCACTGAACCTTCTGCTTGCATGAAGTCATCCATAAATATGACGCTTAATTTGGCCTCTGGATTGAAACTCCTTCTTGTAAAGGCTCGCATGGCACCATCCATTATGTTTTCTCTGCATACATTGATCATATTACTGCTGGGCGTCTCTCCAATCCAGACTTTTGATGCCAGAGTTGTCAGTAAGGTTTCAGATCTGGTCTAGAACAACAACCACCAGAAACCTTTTTCAGGTGGGACTTGCAACATTCAAAATGTGTATGTAGCACTTTATTGGCCTGATGGCCGCGACTCATTTAATCCATTAATGGAAGTATGAAACTAGCACTTACTCGGTAGTGTCTTTGACATGACTCAAATCCAGGAAGCCAGCAGTGGTATCAGAGGACCCAGATCAGATGTTTTGAGGAGGGGTCTCTTCAGGAACCAGAGTGTCCTGACAAAACACAAACACCTGAGTAAAGACATTACCATTAAATACAACATTACAAAATATAGGCCTACAGCTTGCACTAACGTAAGTGTTTAACATACTTTACCTGGGCGAAGAGGGGACATTTTATAAAACACTGCTGTGTGCTTACCCTTTCCTGCTCAGTTTGCAGACTTTGTATGTATTCCTCATCTTGTCTTGTGAAGTGCACGCCACTCATGTAAATCCTAGAGGAAACATTAAAAATGTACAAACATTATATTATTAGTTTTATATTCAGTCCCTAGTAAAGACAAAAGCTTACATCAGCATCATCATCTGCTACTTCCACTCTCTCTGTGTCATGAGATTCACGTTCGAGCTGTAAAACATGCTTACTGTTACATTACAATGGCAACAATCGCTTGTCTTAACATTTCAAAAGCAAATTACTTTTGGTTGGGTAATAATTTTGATAAAAAATGTTAATTGGATAATGATAGTGCTGATAACTGTACTTACATCCCTCGCCATTGTATTAGGTCTCTCCAGGCAGTTTTGTGAAGTATGGACCTCCTGTTCATCCTTCAAAATACCAGAACGCCCCATTTGTTGGACAAAGATGCAATATGCCATTATGAAATATACAACAAGCCTAGAAAGAGCTTAAAATGGGTGCCCATATCATCTTGGTCCAGGTTTTGGCCAGAGTTCAAGACCTCTTCTGCATCCTAAAGACACAAAAACAACATGTATTGTTTATTTGATCTGGATGTTTACACTAGAGCCCGACTGATATGGGTTTTTGGATGTACCGGTTTCCTTGTACTCGTGAGTTTGGTTCATGCCTGTGTTGTCTTGCCCTGGATTAAATACCCTTGAACTATATCTCAGCGCTGTGTCATGCATTTGGGCTCTCACCTGCTCTGCGCTCCCAGCGATCCTGACAGGTGCTCAGTTAGCTCAATTGCTAAAGTGCAGGACTCCCACCTAGAAGGTTGTTTGATCACATTGGGAGAATTTTCCCCCCCACTTCCACAAATTGGTCATAAAGTGGCTGTTTCACATGCTCACAACATAGCGTGTGTGTGTGTGTGTGTGTGTGTGTGTGTGTGTGTGTGTGTGTCTTCCAGTGTTTGATCTGCATGATCTCATTCAAAAGCGTGCAGCATAATTCCCGCAACCATGCTTTCACATAGTGATGCGATTTTTGCGGAACCAGCGCTGTGACAGAAAAAGACCAACAGACACAACACCAGCATGCCGGCTGTGGCTTTTCACACAGACATCGTTCCGTCTCTGTTACTACCCATGTTCCTGGCGCAGAGGTGGATCAAATCAGACCCCCCTTTCACGCTTCGTACCTTTCATACAGCGAGTTTAATGCAGTTTGAAAGCAGCTATGGATAGCCACACTCGTGATTTTATTGCCAACAATGAGGAGTCTGCTGATATTTAACAAGAGCCATCAGACCATTTGCACAATATTGCGCACAATTAAAACTGTTGAACCACATTATTATATCTAACTTATTATGTATAATAGGCTGTAACTGGCTAAACACGTCTCAGGTTTTAGGCTTTAATAAGATGAGGACGACCTAGGAGTTTGGCACAGTAGTGTACATCTGCTGTCAGGAAAGTCAAATCAGTTACTGACCTAATTACAAACTTTCATTCTAATCCCGACAGTCTTTGGAAGCTATACATTTCATCAAAAGGGTAATATCACCTGTGTACATATGTGTGCCTAATATCTAAACAAGATCCTTTAGGTTTTAACAAGCCCCATAATTAGTCACAATGTGCCCCCTGCTGGTCAAAGCCCTAAATTACATTAAAATGCTGAAAAAGGTTCATGTTGTTTTAGACTTACAGTATTTTTTACAATGGTCTGTTTCCTACACCAACATCAAATGAGTACCACTGCTGTTATTTTCCCCCGCACAACTGTTCATGTTTTTTTAAGATATAAATCTAAAGTTGATGAATGGTGTAAAAAGCATGAATTCCCTCTGATGTGTTTGTTTATCAAAATAGGCAGTAAATGAGCAACATGATGAAAACAATGTATAACTTTAATAATATTATTATTATAATAATACTCATTTATTTTAAGTCTTAAACAGCAATCCAAATATTACATTTTCATAGGCTGCATGCTAAAGGAAGAAAAGGAAGAGAAATTAGAGGATCCTTAGCATGTTTAATAGCGGAAAAGGTTTAACCCTACTACTCAGCAGCCAATGGGGAAGTAAAACACTCACCAGTTCAAACTGGACAAGTGGTCAAATGGCTCAGAATCAGGTGAAATCAACGCGTTGACAACATGTGAAAAATTAACACGTAGACAACACGTCAACCACATGTTGTTTGCACGTTGTAAACGTGTCGTCAACCAGTTGTCTTCGTGTTACAAGTCACATATTATAACGCGGCAAACTGCACATATGATTCTTCCTCCGGTCATTAAAGCGCGCGGTTATAAAATAAAGTCACAGAACAAAAAAACACTTTCACAGCTCTGCGCAGGAACCTGGGTTATATCAAACTTTGTAAATTACATTATTAATGAAAAGTTTTGCTCCGTTACTTTCAGATTCCTCTCGCTCACCATCTTGAATTTAATGACGTCAGACGCTGCGACCCTCTGTACACTCATAAGTCATCAGTAAGATAACAACGTTCACTCAAAAACAATGATGCACATATAATTAAAACAGCATTACCCGTTCAGAGAACTTATTAGCTGTTTTTGAGTGCTTCACCCATAATGCTTATGACTTAGCAGTACTGTTCAGGATTACAGTGCATACATTCATTTTTAAGTGGCTACATTTTCAGTGTAAGAAGAAAAAGGCCTGTGGCGAGAAGCACGGTGCCCGATTTTCACTAAATCTGATGCCAACATGAACTCTCATGAGGACAGTTTTTAAAAAAGCCTTAAAGCTTGTACTTTCATTTAGTAATACAAGTTAGCTGCCTGCCTTCATTGACGAACTCCAAACAGGTGAAACCTGACTGTAGTCTGATGAACTTGTTGGCTGTCTGGTGTTTCACCTTCAGCAGCATGATGGCATCTTAAGGAAGCTGCAGAAAATGGAGAGAACTACCTGTGTTGTTTTCTCAGGTGCAAAGTATTATTATTATTATTTAGTTTTAAAGCCAAAATATTACAGTAAAAAGACTATTTCAAGTCCTCCAAACAAAGCTGTTATATTATTAATTCTGAAAGGCAGGATTAAATTCCTGCCTGCAGTCCATATTTGCAATTTTTCCTTTCTGCTCTGTTTTTCATTGCAGATCCCCTCAATGTAGCTGGTCGTCATAGCAACACAACTGCCGCGACGTGACGTTCAACGTGACCCACAAACAGCTGTCTCTTGGTTTAAGTTAAAACGTTTGAACCTTGCTCAGGATGTGAAGACAGATAAGATTCAGCAGGTACAGGAGAGGATGCTGGGAGCTCACCAGCGTTCTCTGCCAGGATGTGTAGAAAGAGTGAGCGCTCAAGTTCAGCATGAACCACGTTATAGTTTAGATTCACGTACCTGTGAGGATCAACATCTCTGCGTCTTCCTCTGTGATGTTCGTTCCTTTCTGAAATCAGGACAAACCCAAGCGAACAAGAAGCTCGGCCAGAAACTAGGACTTGTGTTTTGAACCTCATGTAAGCTTGTTCTGTTTTTATCATTTGAGAAATGCGGCCGAGGTGAAGTCTTTCATTTCAGCCGCAGACCGATATCCTCCCTATATACCTGTCTGAGTCAGAAATCAGTTCATCACCTACAGTTGGTCCAAAATGCTGCCGCTCGCTGCAGGAAATGTGAGCACATCAGCCCAGTGTGAGCGTCCTGCTTCCTGTTTCTTTTAGGACGCACTTTAAAATCCTTCTGATCACTTTTAAGGCCAGACATGGGCACGCACCTTCTCTGAGCTTTTATCCCCATATGAGCCAGGACGCAGACTGAGATCCTCTAGTAGGGCTCTGCTAACTGCTCCAAAGTCTAGGCTCAAAGCCAAAGGGGACAGGGTCTCTGCTGTCAGGGCCCCTACAGGCTCAGAGTCTGCTCCTGGTTTCATCTCACTTCTTAGACACATTTCTACAAAAAGCTTTCACTGTGTGACGCCTCATTTATTTTCCTTTATTGACAGATGGATTGTTTTAAAGCTCTTTGTTCCCCGTGTTGAAAAGTGCTCTACAAATAAAGCTTTTATTATACAGAGGAGGTGTGCAGTGGCTTTGGACCAGCAACGGACCCCTCGGCAACCGGTCCGGACCACAAGGACCGCGTGGACCACTAGTTCATATTTCTACAGACGAGACAGGAGGATGCTGGGAGAAAAGAGAGGCGGGAAGCTGAACTACCTGGTGAGGTCTGAAAATGAATCTGTGATGATTCCAGCCGTCGTCATACTTGAAACAAGTTAGCATAGCATCGCCCTGACTGAGCAGAACTCCATTTAGAAAACAAGCGTTTTAAAAGATGTTTGCTTGTCATCTTGAAGACAGACCTGACAGAGCAGGAATTCATATGTTCAACAAATCAGCATCATTTTGCAAAATGTTTATTTTGGCTTCAAACCGCTGCAGGAAACCAGATTATTGAATTAGATCTGAGTGCATAAACAGCACTTTAATAACATAACATCTTTGAGTCCAACAGATTACTGTAAGCTTCTGATTTCCTCTGGTAACAGTTCATGACCTGTGTACTGGAACATAATGACTGCTAGTATATTGTGCTGGAGTCTACTGGTCCCTGGGTTGGTTTTACTATGTTGTCTGTTTTGTGTTGACTTGTACTGACTACAGATGAAAAACAGCCTTCTGGCTAAATCTGGCATATTTACTGAAATGTTTCAGCTTCAATGAAAAATCCAGCTTTATCTTTGAGGAATGAACAGAGAGACGAGAAAAACCAGAACCTGGAGGAAAGAGACTAAAGAAGTGGAGTTTCTGCTGAGTTCTGAGATCAACGTCTGAAGGACTCGGTACGCTTCAAACAAACTAGATCACGTGACGTCTGTTTATACCTGCTCCAAATGTCAACGCTGGAAGACAAAGATCACAGAGTCCAGATGTTTCAGAGGCCTGAACCAGGTCCACTGGAGGCCTCTGGGTTTAACTGCTGTGCTTTGATCCAGTGTGTAGTGAGGAGGAAGAGGCGCTGAATAAACAGGGACTACAAAAACACTACAGACCACATTTGTGTTCAGGCTGAACAAACCTTTGTTCTTGTGAAAGTCTGACTGAATCAAATCTTATTGTGTCTTCATTCTCTGAGTCCATTTTAACAGCTGGCTGCTTTCTGTTCTGTCACTAAATGTGTTGCTTTCTGTTTAACTTGCATCCTGCCAGGGTTGGTGCTGGAATAATCTGAGCTGGACACTTGAGACTTGGACTCGAGTCCTTTTCAATGTTCTCATTAAAGGAGTCGACACAAAGAGAAGCTTTGACTCTTCGTTTGAAACTGGACCTTCAATCAACTGTTTCCTTTCAACAAGATTTGTTGTGGCTTCAGAAAATGTGACAAATTGTGACGGGTCCAAAATCTAAAGACAGCAGCTTCCAGCATCTTCTAAATCCTGCTGCTGTAGAAAGTTCTGACATGTGGTTTAACTTGACTCTTAACTTCCTGTCAGTGGTTCTGATTTCCTGCAGCTGCTGACTTCTCTGTGTCTGTAGAAATAAAGTTTGTTTGACTGCACGCATTAGAACGAGCCACAAATATCCAGAGAGCCGCAGCTGTTATCCAGCCGCTGGGAGGTTCACAGGAAACACGCCCGTTCAAGCCATGTGACATCACGCTGACCTCACTCTGACATCACTGATCAGCAGGAATCAATAGTGAGTGTGTAGACTGTGTGTGAGAGTCAGTAGGAGGAGTCAGAGTGAAGAAGAAGCTGACAAAGCGTCCTCCTGTCTTCATCCGTCCTCCATCAGCTGCTTCACCTCCATTTTCTCTCTGATCCAGAGTCAGATCGGATCAATGATCAAAGATCAAACAGATTGATCGGCCATCAGAGGAGTTGGATCAGCGGAGCTGCTTCTGTTCCTGCTTCTCTCTGCAGAGGAGACAGAGGACAGTCAGACAGAGACAAACACAGAGACTCTGACCTCAGTCTGCATACTGACCTTTGACCCTGAGAACAACTGATTTCCTCTCATGAGGTCTCCTTCTTCTAGACACACCAGTATCGTCCTCCGTCTCTGTCTGTGGGGGATTTCAGGGTCAGACTGAGGTCTCCAGTTCTCAGCAGGTCTTCCTTCATCTCTGTTCGGTCTCTGTAAACCTGGTCCTGTTGGTCAGAGCCGTTCTGATACATGTGGACCGTCTTATAGGGATCATAGTGGATCCACCACACTTAGCGTCCTCAGGCAGGTTGTCTGTGGTCTTGCAGGGCAGCAGGACAGACTCCGCCCCCTCCTCCACCTCCACCTGACAGACTGAGAGGACAACAAAGCAGAACATGAGCTGCACAGACAGCAGCAGCAGTTTGAATAACTTTATTGACAGAAGCAGATGAGAGCAGCAGCTAACAGGGGACAGAAACACAGGAAGCTGTTGGAGATGATCAGAGTCTTGATGCTGCTGGGATTGTTTTGTCCATGTGCTGCTTCACAGTAATGTCTCCTGTCAGTGTTGAGCTGCTGGACTTTTACATTTCTGGATCTAAAGCTGAACTTTGAAGAGAAGAAGCTTTCAAATGTTTTCATCTCTGTTCTGTAAATGAATCTCAGCTCCACATGTTCAACATCAGTCCAGAACACCGAGACACACAAACATCTGATCTGGATCTGATCCCAAACTGCTCTTCCTGCTTCATCAATATTTGGCCTTTTCTTCTGCCGACTCTGAGCCCACTTTTCTTTCCAAACGGCTTCAACATGATGTGAAGAGAACTGAGCATCAATCTTTCATTGATCCAAACTATTAAAGCTGCATTTCTTTGTTCTGAGTGATCAACACATTTGGTTTCTTTCAGCTTTCTTCTTGATCAATACTGGAAATCAATAACTTATTGATCTCATTCTTTCCATCCATGGAAATGATCTCCTGGATTATTCTGGTTTCCTGTTATGACGTCATTTCTGATCACCTGCTGAGCATTTTTACACTGAAATATTGGTCCTTTTATTTTTTAAAGTTACTTTGCTGGGCGCTGGATAAAAAAGCCAAAGCTGCAGGTTGCAAAGAGGTTGGAGAGTTTCTGACTGCATCAGTAATAATTTACAACACATTTGTCTGTCCTCCCCAACATCAGCTGCTCTCACTATCTCTGATATCTCTATATTTTTCAGATATTGTGCTACAGCTTTCTGTGTGTCCTTTACTCCGTCTCCTGTTGGGCCTAATAAACCTTCAAGGTTCACTTCCTTCCTGCCTGACTCATCTTTTGATTCAGCCTCATCCTCTCATCCCTGTATTTCCTACGTCTGATTGACTTTTGCCCATTAAAACAATGTTTTATTTAAGCCTGTATGATCAAACCTCAGCCTGGTTAAAACGCTCTCCTCTCTTCTGTTCCCTGAGCATTAATAGATTTTTACAAGCTGTAATATTTCCTTCCACTTTTATCCACATCCCAGCCGTCCTGCCATTTCTTCATGGTTTCTTTTCTGATTATCGCCTCAGCTTCTCCTTTTCCAAGGGCTGTATTTATGACATCGTTCGTCCCGGTTGATTCTTTAGCTGTTTTGTCTGCTCTCTCATTCCCTTTTATACCTACGTGGGCAGGTACCCAGCAGAATCTCACATCTATCCGTAGTGTCTGGAATCTAAATAAACTCTGTTGGATTTCTAGCATTAGATCTTCTCTATCAGATTTCATATTTTGAATACTATAAAGGGCTGCTAGAGAATCAACACAACACACCCCTCTGTCTGGTTTTACTTCCTCAACCCACCGCAGTCCTACAATAATCACCATCATCTCTGCCGTGTACACTGAAGCCTGATCAGGTCATCTTTTCCCAACGCTTACATTCATTGTTGCTATATATATTTCCTATTCCTCCCTCGTCCTCTTCATCTTTAGATCCGTCTGTATACATATCTAAGTAATTGTAATATTTGCTCCTTATTATGTAGCTACCAGATAAGAAACCTTTGATCCAGTTCTACATTTTACCTCCAATACCCATTTTATCTCGCTGTATTAAAAGACCTCCTGCGCCTTCTCTATGCTCTCTGTTCTCTCAGCCATGTTTCTTGAATACAGATAACGTCAGGCTTTACATTTAACTGTTGCACATTTCTCTTAAATTCTTGTCCATTTGCAATCAGGCTTCTGGCGTTCCACTGAAGGAAAAAAAGTTCATAACCCAATTATGTGTTCTACCACCAATACACACCTTGGTAGATCAGTCTTTAGCTACTGTAGCTAGCCAGTCCTGTAGCTAGGTAGTGCAGAATGGCCTGAGTTAGCCTCTGGTAGCCGTTCCCCGGCATCCCCTGAGCAGCCAGGAAAGGGGGGGGGGGGGGGGGGCTGGGTGACTGTCCGAAGGAGGAATAGTCGTAAGCATTCAAAGTCCACGGGGC